ACTCAACTACATTGAGTAGTTACTTGGACTTCATGCAAATAAATATAACAATTACATTTTTCTAGTTTAGACAAAAATTTTTAAAGAGTCGCTCAGTACGAGTAGTACGGGGCTTTGTCACCAGAGGGACGTAGTGGAGTTCAGTTTCTCCTCTCTAAGAAGGAAACCACTCGCTTACAATAAAAGGTGCAGCGTTGGTTTCAAACTTGGAAGACAAAAATAAATAAGAAATGCATACACAAATTTGTAACTATGTATTATAAAGCTTTAATAAGAACAATAAGTAAATTAAGTGAACTAAGAAAATATAGTAATATTAACCATTTATAAATTGTTTATATGGTTATGTACTGTATTTTCTTAGTTCACTTAATCTAGTATTCTTATTAGAATTTAATAATATGTATATAGTTGAGGCGCTATTTCACTACAAATTTATAGTTACTGATACGACTTTTTTCTCTGAGTGCAGTAAACAATTATAATAATGTTGGAGATGAGTGACATACACGTAGCATATTCGATACATGTGAAAGTAAATACCTTGACATTATATTAAGTAATTGACTTCCTGGTATACTTGAAATATACACCTCCTTTTCTAATTATCTTCTACTAATATATGCACATTATGATATCATAATTATATATTATGAGTTCGAAAGATCAATCATTGAGATAAATATAGGCAAGTTTTTTAATTCATCAACTGATCAATCGCATTATGTGCAAATGCAACTTTGTAAAAGTTGCATTTGCGCATAATGCGATTGATCAATCGATGAATTTAAAAACTCGCCTTACGATCGTTACCTCGTTAAAGATAATCAAATTACGTTAGCCGACGTGATAGCAATGACAAAGGACAACTGCAGACTTGAGCGTGGAAAAGCAAAGCAATTGCTTTTGTAGTAAAAAAGGAGGATTACTCAAACGGAAATGTACGTGCTTTATAACGTGAAATAAACAAATGCTTCCGCTTCCACCTTCGGCTAAAAGCATTCGTTTCGTCTTTATTTATTTTTCTTCGTGGAACGTAGATGCATAAATTCAAAATGATCATGCTTTTTTATGCATTCTCCGTTTTAACACCGTTAATCAAATCAGCACGATTTTCACGAGTCGACGAATAGCACGAAATGCTTCTAATTAGTCCTGTCAGAACTTAATCAGTCCTTGAACGTAGCTCGTTAGTTTCTTGCCTCTGCCTTAATTTCCGGTTGTTAAAGTTTTTAATTTCGAACTTAACCGTTATTATCGAATAATTTTCTATTTCGCATTTTTGCAGAGAGGATGCCCTGGACGATCGTTCAAGCGTGTAAAAAGTTACAGCGTCGTAAAAAATTACGTTGCGAAACTGTGCGCATTTTCTTCCTTTTTTTTTAAAGACTTTTCTTCATAGAAGAAACTGGAGAATGATTGACATAAGATGTACCGTCGATTTTTACAACGTTTTGTAAAAATTAAATTTTAGTTTGCGGAAATCACGTTTAATGGGTGATAATATATTCAATAATAATAGCAACTGTAAGAATGCTTTTGTGCGAGCTGAACTTTATCCAAGCGATGCTGGCATAAAATTTTATTGTGTTCTCCTTTCACCCTCAAAGTTTACACGGACATTGCGAAGTCGGCAGCTTAAGATAGGCGAGCGATGTAGCGATTTTACGACGCGCAGGCGGACTTTGTCGCTCGGCGAACGCATTCAAGGATGCACTCTCCAAGGTATGCGAAAGGTACAGTGGCTGCGCACACAGAACCGGCTGCATTACGACGGGCTGTCCTTCATCGACTTCCTCCGCCGCATTTCATAGTTTATTTGGCGGAAAACGAGTGATGGAAAGTGCTTTTCACGAGCCTTTTACATCGCATGATGTTTGTCATTCTAAGATTTATAAGTAAAACGCTCATTTCTTTTTTACTGACAGAATCAAAGACGTAGTAGGCATAAACTGCGCGTTTTGCTATTTTAATTGATCTTAGCATCTGTGCTTCGTTAGAAAAGGAATACAATGTTGAAGTATATCAATATCTCTTTTTAATTTATTTTAGATGAGGGGCGCAATAAAGGTTTAGAACAAATATACATTTTGCCACAACATAACTCAAAAATTGTTATTTTAGAGTTGCTTACAAAAAATGAACGGAAATAGAAAAAAAAACATATTTTAAGAGACATACTTTTATTCTTCTATAATTAGTTGTTACACCAAATTACATTTTCAAAATTAACATTTACAAAATTGTAATGATTTAAAACAGTCAAACTCATTTTCTAAAAAACTTTGTTTTTTGAGTGGTTCGTTGTTGTGTAAATGCGATAAAAATAAACGAGGAAATAAGAAAATACACACCAAATTACTTCTTTACTAAATCGATAGTGACAATGTCTATACATAGAAAAAACGATTAAGCTTTGGAAATTGAACTAGATTCAGATCTGAAAATAATTTTATTGTACTATCAAAATAATTACGCAAGAAACTTAAGCGTGATGAGCAATGTTGCAAAAAGTTTTGACATTCTAACAACTAGTTTGAGTGCCCCACACAATTATTTTGATAAAGTTATTTTTAGATTTGTATCTCGTTAAATTTTTAGACACTTCGGTAAAACTATCCTTTTCATATTACGTTTATGAACGGATCAGATAGTGTTTTTACAATATATTTAATATGTTTATTTCGATTATACGTACTATGATATCTAAACATCATTCTTTGCTTAGAGTTTTTGAACTTTATCATATCGTCGTTGAGATTTAATTATGAATCAAATGAAAGATTAAAACGTTTATCAAATTAAAAAATTCGGAGATAGCGTAAGTAGATGATTTTAGTGAAACATGACGATTAGGTCATTCGAGATTTCGTCGAAATTTTCAAGTGTCTGGCAAACACGAAATAAAATGCGGAGCGTCAACACGCACTCATGGTGGTGGCATATGCGAACATTTCCTCATAAATATGCAAATAAATATTTAATATTTATCGTAGTCCTGAAAGAAAAAGTTCAAAGGTACTGAGAAATATACTAGCGAATTCTTTTTTAACTAAGAAAAACTGGAGTAGTGCTACTGCATTGTAAAGTAGAAATCTTACGACATGATTTTCCTAAATGAACAATTTTATTCATTGCAATGCAGCAATCTGGTATTTTACTTGAATAAATTCTCTTTTGTTCAAATTCTCGGAATCCTCTTGAAACAAGCTCTTAATATTTTTCTAATATAAACAACATGGAAGAGCAATATTAATTTTATTTTAATACAATATCTTGGACGTCTTTGTTTATCAACAAAAAATAAAAAATAAAAAAATTTAAGTTTAATAATATTATGAAAATATCTTTATATTCAAATTACTTAATTAACATATTTGAGGAACCTTTTTTTACATTTTTCTTATTTCTGAACGAGAATCTTTCATATTTCTTTAAATTAACAATATTATTTCGTTAAATAAAAAGGGAAGAATTTTGCTACAATTAAAATAATATTTTTGTTTAATGTATTAAATATGACTTACGTCATGTTACCTTTAAGCGTGTTGAAAGAGGTTCCAATCAAAAGCCTCCATAGCTCAGGGGTTAGAGCACTGGTCTTGTAAACCAGGGGTCGAGAGTTCAAATCTCTCTGGGGGCAAATGTTTTTTTTTTTATTTTAAATAATATTTTTGCATAATATATTAGCCGATAAGCTATTTGCAATAGTGTTCATTTTTATATCACGTAAATGAAATATATAAGGAAATACAGAGATTAATTTTATCATACATATACACATGCATATATTCACACACATATATGTATAAATATAATTCTATTGTATGTGCAATACTTTAATCACGTATTCCATTTAAAAAAAAAAAATGTAAAAAAAGATTGTGCAAGCACGTGTCCGGAAATGTTTACTTAAAAAGGTAATAATATGACGTTAAACCGTTAATGACAGTGCACTGAGTTGATATCGAAATAATGACTCATTCGATTATTCGTATGCATCAAAGGAAAGGAGATTTTTTTTAATAGTTATATCAGAACTTGTAAAAGTAATTATTATTATTGATATATTATGTATATTAAATTAATAACGTGCATCTTTTTATATTGGATTTGTCAATATATTGATTGACGTCAGAAATGTAGTTTTAATAAAGCTTTCTATTTTTATAAAAAAGGCTTTTATAAAAAAGAGTGAATGACGTCCGTTCTTTTACTATTATATTGCTAATAATGTAAAATTCAAAGTTTTTTTTAACATAAATAGAATTTATTTTTAACACGCTTAAGGAGACCCTAAGTCTGTATTACCG